GCGGCTGCGGCCGATGACATCGGTTTGGACGCCGAAGCCATCGCCGACGTCGTGGACCAAGTGTCGACTTCGTCGGACAACGTGGCGGCGCCGGCCGACGTGGCTGCGGATGCCGCCATCGATGCGGGCGCGTCTGCCGACCAAGTCGAGGACCTTGTCGCTGCCGTGGAAGCTGGCGCGACGGCCGAGGACGCCGCGGAGGACGCGGGCTTGTCGTCTGCTGCCGTGGATGCCGTGGAAGACCAAGTCGCTGACTCGACGGACAACCAAGCGCCTGCTGCCGACGTGGTTGCGGCCGCGGCCGCCGATGCGGGTGCGTCGGACGAGCAGGTGGCCGACATTGCGGAAGCGGTGGACGACGGAGCTTCTCCTGCGGACGCCGCGGAGGACGCTGGCTTGTCGGCATCTGAAGTCGCCCAGGTCGAAGATGTCCTTGCTGCTACTCCTAGCTTCGACGAAAACGGCCTTGAACTTGCCGGTCATGACAATATGCCCGAGGTATATGGTGAGATCACTGGTAACTACAGTGTTGGCGAGGAAGAAGAAGCCCCTGCTCCGAAGACGACTCTAGGTCGTCTTATTGATGCCATCAAGAGTTATTTGACCACCGCACCAAGCAGCCCTAGCCTCCGTTCGCGCCCCCAGTGCGCAACGTCGGCTTAGTTCGTTCAACTATTGCCGGAAATCGTATTCAGAAGTAATACATGCATTTGCACTTCGTCGGAATCAAAACGCTTCTTTCCGATCACCTCCAAAGTGTCCGTTGTTTGTGATTTTAAGTGCTTCATCGAACGCGCTTCCAGTTACCGCTGCGAAAACAAGAGTAGATTGCGCCGCGTCAAATTTTTCCTGTTTTACTTTTTTTGTACTGTGGGCAGCCTGGACAGAGGGATCTCGGTTACTAGTATGCGGTAATGGTATTGGCATTTTACAGAATTACAAGCAGTATCCGCGCGTCAAGTGGTCGGACCGCGTCCACCAGGGCTACAAAAGCCAAGGCCAGAGCCTTTGGACTGAAGCGTCGTTCACGCGAAACGTGATCTAGTCGTCGAATTCGCCATTTGCGGTGGTGAGCCAATGTATGTTTTTGTATACACCTATTTGTTGCAGATTTGAGGGCGGCTAGGAATCGCATCCAATCTTGATGAAGTGCAAGTAAAGCTTCATCTTGCAGCCGCCGCCGTTGCACGCTGCCGTATAATTTGACTGTTGCAGAACCCTCTCCATGGCGCCTTTTCAACTGCCAAACCTTCCACGCGAACAATGTTGATAAAGTTCCAATGCTACACAACTCTATTCGCTTCAACCGTTCCAGATGCTTCTTCCATCGGCAAGTCATTGGGCTCGCGCGGCGTGGCTGCTGGCCGTGGTCTGGGCTTGTGACGTCGGCCACTACCCTTCCAGTCCATCAGGGGACTGCTCACCGTGTAGCTATGGCACGTGGAATGATGGGTCGCTTGAGCAATGTCAGGTATGTCACGATTCGCTACACAACCTAAGAGAATTCGTTAGTTCCCAGTGTCTTGTGGACCGGGATCGGAGCCAGCGGGGTATGCTGCGAACGCAACGGATTGTTTGTTGTGTGTAGCGGGCTACTTTCATGACGGTATGGTTACTCCAAATGATTTCTGTCGCGAAATTTGGCTCACACTTGGGTGTAGCTACTGGCACATCGCTGTGCCAGCCCATGCGTTGCCCACCTGGTTCAGCTAGCACTGTACTGGGAGCCACAGATGCGACCAAGTCGTGTTCCCTGTGCGCTGAACGTTCTAGTGGTGAAGGCGGCAGTAGTCGTTGCATGCCGTGTCCAACCAACTCGTATGCCCCAGCGGGGTCGACTGAGTGTGCGCCGCTGAAATGTGCTCCTGGGTAGAACCACGAATGATCGAGCATCGCCTGACAAAGTTGATGTGCTAGAGCTATTCCCAACACAGAGCCGACCTCTGTTTCGGACTGCACACCATGTGCTCGTGGAACTTTTCCAAATGGCACCGCTGGTATCGGAATCCTTCATGTCTTCCTCAATGTATCATTTGTGTATGCAGAGTGCGCGTTGTTACAGTGCCCTGCGGGATATCAGCCCCGAGTGCCTGCCACGACTGTTTCGGATTGTGAGCCGTGTGCTCTAGGCACGTTCTCTCCTGGCGGTGAGTTAACGCCTTGACGCTGGGCCCTCTGAACCCCTTCATATTTCGGTCTGGTACCAGGTGCGAACGCTTGTGCACCTACAACGTGCTCACCAGGGTCAGTCGCAACGGCATTGGCTACCGATGCCTTGTCGTCTTGTCATCGATGCCCAAACGGGTACTGTAGCAATTGACCGAGATTGGTAGTCTGCAACAATGGAGCTCATCGCAAATGTGGGCAGGACCGTCTCAAGTGTGGACAACAAGTGCACCCCTTGTGCTGCCGGCACGTATGCAGCCGGTGACACCTGTTTGCCTGCGAAGTGTCCTCCTGGCACGTATGCACCTGCTCTGAGCGCGGATCCAACTACCAGTGAGGACCTGAATTATCCACGAGGCATGCATAACACGGGATTGAAATAGGTTGTGTCGAGTGTGCACGAGGCACATTTGCAGCGGGGGGTGGAGCTACGACTTGTACTTCGTTCACTTGTCCTGCGGGGTATGAGCCCACTGCTCTGGCCGCAAATGCAGCTGCATGCGCCTCTTGTCCCCTCGGTATTCACATCCCAAGTATGCATAAGCTCACGGATGCATAGGCTGGTATTCCAATGAAAATACGTCGTTGCCATGTCGACCAGCGTCGTGTCCGCTTCGACATCAAGCTAAGTATGTTAGTTACTACTGTACAGAATATTGGCGGTTGATGGATATACTTCGGTGTCACGGAAATACTCGGCCACTTGAGCTAATTACCATACCTGTAGAAAACACGCTGCATCTGCCACCGATTGTGAAGCATGTCCGCCAACGCAAAATTCCGTCGGGGGTGCAGCACTCTGCGGAGCCCCAAATTGCACCGCGGGTTCCGCTCCAACTTTAGATGGCACGACGTGCACGCCGTGCCCGCTCGGAACTTTTAGCCCTGGTGAAGGTACCGAACGAACTATCGACATGCTCTTGAAATTGAACGTTTTTGGACACACAGGGTCTCCGTGCGAGCCCATGCAATGCACCCCCAGTTCCTTGCCCCGTGATGGTGCTGGGTCCGCATTTGACTGCATCCTTTGTCAAGACGGATGGACTAACGAAGGTGGCGCGGCTCTCACTTGCAATTTGTGTAACCATGGGGAATTCCGCAATTCATCGATGCCAGCGTGTGCACCGGCGAACTGCGACGATGGATGGGAAGCCACGGTAGCCGACACACTGGGTGGATCAACGAGTGTGACTTGTCATCACTAGCTTGGCGCAACTCACAGTCGTGATTGTACCATCTGCCCCCAAGGCACGTATGGCCAACACAATCGCTGTGAACCCACCACTTGTGCGCGTCATACGTCCAGTCCCAAGGTAGTTTTCATGCGAAGAAGGATGAATCTCATGACTTGATGTAGGGCGCGGTGGACCCTGCAGCCAACTGCGAAGCTTGCGCACCCGGATACCTCTCTGCAGGCGGCCAAGCACCATGCGAGCCGGCAACTTGCACGCCTGGCTCTGCATGGGAAAGTGACCTGGATGACTGTGTCTTGTGTCCAGCTGGTGTGTTCGCGTATTGCCGTGGTGGATTTGACACTGTGTTTAGGAACATTCGGACGAGGCGAAGCCACGTTGTGTGAGCCCATGCAGTGTCAACCTGGCTTTAGCTCAACGGCTTTGGGTGCCACGCACCCGTCGAACACTTGCACCCAGTGTGCACCTGGTATGTGTCAACCTACTTCTTCAAGGCATCATTGCATAACTTGGACAGGGTGGTACGGCTTAGGAAACGGGGCGGCATGTGAATTGGTCAACTGCGCTCCTGGTACCATCGGTGCGTCATCCTCTTAAAACCGTCTTAATCTTACGCAAAATGGTTGTGCTAGCCAAGGATGGACCGACTGTAGCCATTGACGAGTGCGTGCCATGTCATCCTGGTTCGTACTCCATTGGCGGAGAAAACGCCTTGAGGTAAGAGGCGATGTGTCAATGACCTTGCTTATTCCCGCGTAGCTGTACAGCGTGCCCAGAAGGAACTTACTCATCAGACGGTGAAGCCAACTGCCATCCTACGGTGATTCGAACGTCCTTCACACTTGCCTCACAATGAACGACTCAGGAATGCATGGCGGGGTGGAGCTACCACGTGAACGCCACATCCGCCACCGATTGCGGTCCGTGCGACGTTGGGTTCACTTCCAACGGCGGGTCGTCCCCTTGCTTTCCAGTACAACAATTTCGTACTGTTTGTTTCATCCCTGACATCCTTCTTAGATCGCGTGTCCTCCTGGTGAGTACGCTACTGAAAGCTCTGCGGAATGTACAACATGCCCACCTGGCACGTATTCGGTATGGAAACTGTCCTTGTGATGAGACTCAAGAAGCACACAGGATGGGGACTCAATTTGCAAACCCACCACGTGTCCACCTGGCTCTGGTGCCGTCGTGGGGGCCACCCATCCCACCGACGACTGCGAAGTGTGTGGTCCTGGTGAATTCAGTCTCGGCGACGATCAACCATGCGCACCCACGGCGTGTCCTGTTGGGTACGTTGCATGCAAACTACATACTTCACAGAATTTACACCAAGTTCAGCACTGCCTCGAACGTGGAAGGGTCCAATCTTCAAAAGGGCCTCTGTTTGCCATGTCCAGAGGGCTACTTTAGTGCTGGAGGCGCGGATCAGTGCAAGCAAGCCCAATGCCCTGCTGGTGAGCGACTATCCTCCGGGGCGTCTCAAAATGACCTTATTTGCAGGCGCATTTTTCCCGGTTGGGGCTAAGGACTCGTTGGCGAGCTGTGAAGTATGCAGGGCGGGTACGAGGCAGATATTTCCCAGCGTTTTCGTCAAATCACTTGTAGGCACGTACAGCGACGGAACTACGATGGGTCCGTGTCTCAATACAACTTGTCCACCAAGTACGATCATTTTTGTGTATATTGGCCGTCGAAGATTTCTCCATTATCGTGCATTAGGCTCAGCATCGCCATTGGGGGCAGTTGACCCCATCGCCCAGTGCCAAACATGTGCGCTGGGGAAGTACAGTCAAGGTTGGTATTGATTCGATTTACTGTGATGTCTGACAGCGCGGTGGTCAGGTGGCACGGCTCCGTGTGAAGCCACCAATTGTCGCCCTGGATTTGAGCCTGTGTTAAACATGACATCAGCATCAGAGGAATGCGCGCCATGTGGCCCTGGAACTTTCTCGGAAGGGGGAACGGACCTGTGCCGACCTATGGCCTGTGCCCCTGGCACTGAATCAAACGCCTCACAAGCCATGCATCCTACCAAAACATGCACTGGATGCGCCTATGGCTGGTTCAGTGCTGGAGGTGCAGCTCAGGTTTGTCGGCAATTGTTTTGCCTGACTGCACTGAGAGTAATTCTTCTAGTGTGCCATGATGGAATGTTCTCCTGGTACAGCGTCGAACATGACCAACCCCTCCGAAGGTTGTCAGTAGCACGTGCGCGGACAAGTCTAAAACTGCTGGATAGGTGCAACGGATGCTAAATCGGCATGTACTACATGCCCCGTGGGGTATTTCAGCGGTGGTCAGGATGGTGCATGTGCACCTACCACTTGTGCACCAGTATGCAAACCTACCAATTTTTTGCCGTGATAAATTGTCTCACACCGTGACCCTGTAGGGCACAGCTGCGCCACTTGGGGCCACAGATGCAGTTGCTGATTGCGTTATTTGCGACGCTGGCAAATTCAGTCCTGGGGGAATCGTTCCGTGTGCACCTACGACTTGCCCCGCTGGTGCGCAGCTCTGGCATATGTGACTTCGACCGTAACAATGCCAGTTAGGCTCTGCTGCGTCTGCGCAAGCTACGAGCGCCACAGCCAACTGCACGCAGTGCGTCGCTGGGACATTCTCGGAAGGTGGCACCGACTCTTGCAACCACCAAACATCGTGTCCCCAAGGCTATGCATCGCCTGCCGGCGCATCCACTGCTCAAGGACAATGTGCCTTGTGTTTGCCTGGGTGAGCTTGCGTGATTCGTCCTTGTGTTAACGATTTCGCAGGTGGTTCAGCCCTGGACAAGACCAACCATGCACTAAATTGACCTGTCCTGACGGCCAAGGGGTTGCTGAAGGCACCATCGAGTGCGTCGACTGTCTTGCGGGATTCTATGGCAACGGTACATGCTCAACAACTTTACACCTTCGAATTCACAACTGGACGTATCTAGACGCCGTCTGTAAGCCCATGACTTGTCCTCTTGGTACGGCCTCCAGTGCGGTCGCTGCCACGTCGCCCTCTGCCACCTGCGAGTTGTGTGAACCCGGGTATGATGTGTCATCCACTTGCATGGAGAGTTGACAAGACTGCAGAAAATTCTCTGCTGGTGGAGTCCACAAGTGCCGCCCGACCCATTGCCCCCCTGGGAGCGCATCCCCAGCTGTATGTACAAGTCCCTTCCCCTCTATCTCGTCAATCGATCATGGTGTCGTAGGGGGCTGATGTGCCAACTGGTCAATGCTCGTGGTGCCCCAATGGCCATTTCTCACCAGGGGGCTCGGATCCTTGCGCGCCTTCGATGTGTCCTCCTGGGACGGCCATGCCGACTGGCGCAGCTTCTGTCGACGACTGCTTTCCATGCGCTGAAGGGTACTACTCCCCCGGTCACTCCACGTCGTGCATTGCGTGCACATGCGAAGACCCAACCCAGACCTGCTTCCACGGTATACAGCATGATTCTGTGAGGTATTCATGACACTCTCGCAGGCGCCAACGAGTGCCAAACGTGCCCGAACCCGTCGTCGGTGTGGCGCGCCGACACAAAGACCTGTGTTGGACGAACAAGCGAGGTCAGGACAAAGGGAGATACAACTTGCACCACACTGACATACCAACCAGAACTTGGACGGAATTGCCGTCCATACCAAAGCCACAGTCGTGGGTCTACCACCGTCTCTCTGGAGCCCGTCGTTGACTCAAGCGTGGGTCGCAGCCGTCAGCAGTGCCGTTCCGGCAGCGAAGACCACCCTGGCGTCTATTGAAGCAGCCACTTCTTCCACCGACCCACGTACGTCATGTATAGTGATTTGCCGTATCAAGTTTTGTGCGTAGGTGGCGCCGTGACACTAGTCTTTGTCACGACTGTCCCGACTGCCGACGACGCATTGACCCTTCGAGAAATGTACGAGTCGAAGGCTTGGTTGGCGTCGTTGGTCGGTTCGGATGCATATCGCAACCGCATCTCGTACGAATACGCATACGTGCTCACGATTTCTGAGGCAATTTCGTGTATAGAGCGGTGGTGGCTGAAGATATCACACCGAAAGTCCTGGTGTCGTTGACTCAAAAGGACATGGAGGTCGCGTCCGGTCGGGTTGGCAACGTGGCCGTCGCAGCCATGGCTTGCGTCGGTGTCATAGCAGGTACGACAGTGGACTCGATTGGAGTGATGAAAGCTGAGATGGTTTTCGCAGCTGTGCTCGTAGCTGTTGTGTTGGTCCGCCGACACCAACAAAACGTTGTGGACGACGTGGCGTGTGAGTCTGCGTCTGCGGTGGCGATTGTGACTGCTGCTCTTTAAGTTGCATGTTAACCCAGACAAAAGACACTGCATTTTCGAAGTAACCATATCATAAGAGCCTTGCATGAATGACGCAAAGTTCTCCTTGACATGAGGTAGTGCAGAAGTAGTGAGTTGCCTAGTGTGGCTCTTCACCCCCTGCTGATAAAAGTGTTTTGCACGCACAGCTGACCAGACAATTGTTAACGATAACAACAGCATATCCGGATATACTTGTCCGGATACCTCTTGGCCAGTGGTTCTTCACTCCACTCGAAACGACAAAGCAACAAAAGAATGCCGCACAGTCACGAGTCCGACGAGGACGATGCCCCGGAAGCCGTCCCGATGGCGGTCGCCAAGTCCAAGGTTCTCGTTCCTTTCCACCTTAACGTTCGTTAACAGCTACTCTCAGGCACTTGCGTCTCGTGAATCAGAAAAGCAAGCGCACCAGTCTGCCAAGGCAGCGGCGGTGTTGAAACGGAAGAGGCACATCGAACCCAACGCGGCGCTCCCTGTTGATGTCTTGGATGCTGCTTCGGCCGCTCGTAAAGAAAAGGAGCAACTTGAGCAACGAAAACTCGAACAAGATCACGCAGAAGAGGTAGAAGCCAAGCCGAAAAAGACGCACAAACCTGCAACCCATGTCCGTCGCTTTGGCAACATCCAGGTCACGACATTGGACGCTCCACTTCCGGTATGCAGTTATTGCAATTTTCGTCCACATTTGCAAGATCCAAACCCCATGTGTTCATTCACAGGTGGCCGACGCATTGACTGACTCGGCGAAGGCGTTTTTGCTTCAGCGCACCGCCCCTGGTCGACCCCGAGCCAAAGTCCTCGAAACCACATTGCCATCTACTCGTCGTCGGAAAAAGTAAATCAATTCCTCAAGCACTTCCATTGTCCATTTTCGTCTTCCTGATCCAGTTGTGCATTCCGATTCGCTAAAAACAACCATCTTTGATTGGCCAGTCAATGCTATCTCATCATTGATTGGTGGCATGCTCCGTTGACTCTATTGGTCAGATCAAAACTCCAACGTTTTGATTGGTGCAACTCATTCTACGCGTAGATTGGTCAAAAGGAATTCTGCGCTCTGATTGGCTGTCAGCCATTCACTGGTGGGCGGCCGTTGGTGGTGGGGCTGCTGTCTTGTATTTTGCATCTTCCCCATTCGCAAGGTAAGGATGACAGAATAGAAGGCAGGATGAAGGATCGCGATGCTCATGAGCGACGTACGTGTAGAAGACATCATCATGGTCCAAGTTACCCCTGTCGCTCGTCGTCCGATCATCAAGAAGAAGGTGACCAAGTTCAAGCGCCACCAGAGCAACCGCTTCAAGCGTGTGTCCGAATCGTGGCGCAAGCCCAAGGGTATTGATGGTCGTGTCCGTCGCCGCTTCAAGGGTGCTATCCGCATGCCCAACGTCGGGTACGGCTCCAACACCAAGACCAAGCACTTGTTGCCCAACGGCTTCTACAAGTTCACGGTCCGCAACGTCGCCGAACTCGACATGGTACAGTATTGTCTGACCGAATGAACAGACGTTAAAGGTGATGTAGTTGCTCATGCACAACCGCAAGTACTGCGCTGAAGTCGCGCACAACGTGTCGGGCCGCAAGCGCAAGGAAATCTTGACCCGCGCCGAGCAACTCAACATTCGCGTGACCAACCCCAACGCTCGCGTCCGCGCTGAAGAAGCCGAATAAGCGACGTCTGGTAGATGCTGCCTCTGAGAAACGTAGTAGTGGGGAAGAAGGCGATGAAGTGTTTGCAGGACAAAGCTACGAGGACCGTCGATGCGTCATCTGTCATACTTTAATGAAAGAGATCATGGGTGGACTTGTTGTCCAACGGCACAACTCGTGATATGTCTCTTCACGTGGCAAGCTAAGGCAGGCAATCCCAGTCATCTTTTCGCGTATTGGAGAACATTGCTCCATTTGTGACTCTGTAACAAAGCGCGACCAGAAATGAGCAAATCCTAGTGGGATGACAATGCATCACGTTTTGTGAACATGGTCACGTTTTGTTACAATCACCCCGTCACATTGTGTTTAAACCCCAATTTAAACCAGCGTTAAATAGGGTACATCTACTTGCATAGTATAACGCGTTCAATTCCCCTCCCGTGGTGTCCGTATTACCCCATTCTCCCGCCGCCGCAACGTCGACACGTGGTCCATGAAGCTGCGGCATCTCAAAATTCCCTTTTTCCTAGCGGTGATCGTCAGTCTCTGCTGTTGGGCTGCTCTCGTTTTCACGTTCACGTCAACGTCGTCAACATCGTCAAATACCTCACAAAGCGGAGGACTTCGTGCATCTGCCAACAAATATCTCGGCGGCATTCTCTTTCGGCAACCACACGAACTCACTCCTACAATGCGACAGCTGCAGAATCAGCTGCAACCCGTGAAACTCCCTGCATGGCGACAGAATCTGTCCATGAACAATCCCGCAAACGACTTTGAGTGCCTGGGATGGCGTCAAACAGGCGACTGTGAACCGAATGGACCACGTGAGCCGAACCAAGACAAAGGTTGCGACGAAATCATCACGGCGGGCAACTCTGGGTACTGCGAAGCGCGGCACAAAGCGACTGGCACGATTGTAAGGTCATTTGTGAGCTCGTGCATCGGCATGAAGGGTGGATCCAAGTTCTCGTGCAACCAAACAGGGTACATCAACGAGACAATACATATCGAACCTCATGCACTTTTTTCTAGTGATTTCTTTGCGTATGCCGACCTCCCCTCGCGGTACCGGGTCCGGCAACGCACGCCGCCGATTTCCAAGGCACAGCAGTCGGCCGACCTCACGCGTGGTATTGTCATGGCAGTCTTCCCCAAGGTCATGAAGGGTGTGTACGCTGCGATTCATCGGGTACTCTCAATATACACTCCTCATCCAATTTCATCCTGTCAATAGCTTCGAGACACGGGATGCAAGTTGCCCGTCGAACTCTGGTATCGCCGCGACGAAATGAACACATCTCATCCAATCATCGCGACACTCCTTGCCAAGGTACCGGTGGTTTTCCATCGCGACTCCTCCTCCGATGCACCAACGATTAGGAGGGGATCTTTGCCCGTGAGATCGTCCAGCCCGACGCAACGCACTTTTACGTCAAGCCGTACGCGTTGTACCACAGGTATCGAATCGGTCGACATAGAGCTGTTGAGGTCTCAGTTCGTGACTGGCAGTGCCTTCACCCAAGTGCTGCTCCTCGACTGCGACAACTTTGTCACGGTCGACCCGACGTACCTCTTTGGTATCCCCGAGTTCACTGAAGTCGGTACGTTTTTCTGGGTGACCCGTGGCGCGTGTTTGATGTCGTTTTGCAGGCGCCATGTTCTGGCCTGACTTTTGGCGCATGAAGAAGACGATCTTCAACATCCACAACACGAGCGTGCTTTGGGACATGCTCGGCGTCAATTTTGTCGACATGATGGAGCAAGAGTCGGGTCAAGTCCTTGTCGACAAATCGGTACCCTTTCAAAAGTGGTCCATTCTTTCGTGGCTGAATCCTACCGTAGAAAGCCAAAGGCGCGCTGCAGACGCTCATGTTCTACGCATTCCACCACCCGCGCTTGATCGAGTCGCTCGACATGGCTTGGGGTGACAAAGATCTGTTTCGATTCGCCTGGATGAAGTCTCAGACCCCCTTCCACATGATCCAAAAGCCACCTGGCAGTGCGGGGGTTAAACATCACACGTGCGTTGACTCTCGCGCCCGTCCCTGTTCAAAGCAATGCTTATCGTCGTGATTTTGCACGTATTTAGGTACAATTTGTTTTGCGGTCACACAATGGTCCAGCACGACCCCCACGGCAAAATCGTGTTTTTTCATCGAAACACGTACAAATTGACGGGATATGCCGATGCCCCTCGTATTTGTAAGGGTCGTGACGATTCCTGTAATGGCTCATAATGCGTGTGCATGCATAGGGGACCATGTCCAGCAGTACAAGAAGCCTGTCGTTGACGACAACTATGACGTCCGGGGGGCGAATGGAGGGGAAGTCTTCCCGACCTTCAAGCGATGCTTTGGCCGCGACACAGCGTACGAAGAGCTGTTCGATCTCACGCCGTTGACCGAGTTTCCGTTTGGCAACATGGAAGAGTCCATCCTCCGCTACGCCCATGAAGCATGGCTCTTGGAACCGACGACGGAACCTCCGACGACAACCGCCGCTCCAGATCAAGCATGAGGATTGACAAGATTTTTTAATATAGACGGCGCATTAAACATGCATTCTATTGCGCCTCATTTGTTCTTTTATCAAAATAATCAAAATTTATATTTTGAAGAAAATTCGCACTTCAAAGTACTAGATTTTCCAGACAACTCCCCCATTTTATATCGATCTTGTTAACTTAATAAGATATGGGAGAAATGTAATGTGCTTTTGCTCGGATTTTCCGGTTGAGGCGTGATAATTTACGATCGCGAATATCTTCGATACACTTGATTGGCTGACCAGCTGTCTCCTTGATGAGACGAACTTGTGTTCCAGTAGGGGTAGTCTTCCACGGTTTCAAGATCCGTGGAAGACTACCCCTACTGATCACTAAGGTGTCACTACTCGCTCCCCCACACCCACGTGTTCGAATTCATGTGTATTGTTGGTTGCTGATTTTTTAAACCAATCACATGCCGTTAGAAAGAAATTGACCAATGGGAGCGATTGGTTGATCGATTCAGCAGGCGATTCTATTCAACATTCGTACCGAATCAATAATATATATTGAGTACAATTTTAGTGCGATCACATTTGAGGGTCCAGGCCGAGGCCAGTGCGCAGCTCTTGGCGCAAGAGCTGCAGCGCCTGCAGTTTCCCTCGAACGGCTGCCGCATCCGTCGCGCACTGTTGCAGTTGTTGGAAGGTCCACAACTCTGGGTTGTCCATTGGTACATTGTCGAGAAATGCCATCAGGCCTCGCGGAATTACCTGAAGGTTTGAATGTATAACTCGGATTCATCGGCATAAACTTACGTGATTGAGCGGCATGTGTTGAAGATGGAGGTTGAGTTCCGCAAGGCGTTGGACATATGTGTGCACCGCTGTCGCATGGTGAGCATGGCAAAACCGGTGACAGTGACAGACCTTTCTGCATTTGGCTTTGTTGGTCGCCATTGAAGTGGCGAACGAGGTACACACATGCATCGAGAGCCTTCATGATGGAACTCAGCTTGACACTCAATTCATCTTCGGGGCTACTTGTATGCTTCGAGCCTGTACGAGATTGGGAGATCAAGAGTGCCACAAAGTGTTGTTACCCGAGCTGGACGTTGGATACAATTGCGACGAGGACGGCCCAGGAGAAGGATGCGTCAAGGGGCTGGCGAGTGGCGTGAAGGCAGGGGTTGCTGAGGTGTACCCTTGCATCCCTTGGTACGGAGACAACACCATGGAGCCCTACGGCGGAAGTGTAGGTCCTTCCACCACGCGACGTGGAATTTACCACAGCGTCCATAGAAGGAGAAGGCAATGGCGCGTTCAATGATGATGATGCATCTGTGTTTCCTAGAGAAAGCTTGTGATTGTCGAGGGCTAGCTAGCATCACGAGCTAGGGCGCCGTACGTACCAACGGAACTGGTCGGCGAACTGGGGATGTTGGACATGAGGTTGAATTCTCAATAAATCACATCCGGTGTTTTGCGGGGTTATCCGGAATCTAGTGTCCATAGTGAAGGGCCGCAACCGTGTCAAGAAGGCCGTTGTTCACTTGGGCACGAAGTTGTCGATGTACTCGAATCCCTGACTTTCAGTGCGACAACTGCTGGGGTCGGATTGAATCTCAAAGTCCCCATCCTCAGCAAATTACCTGGAAGCTCAGATCACATGAATCAATCGAACCCCGAGCAGGTCGACTCTCCCCTGAAGCTTGATATTGTCTGGTGCACGCGAGAGTGTATAGTTGTCGAAGCTTCACGTAAAACATCCAGGAAACTCGAAGGCATTCGAAAGGATAGTCTTTGAAAGTGGTTTATCGCATTATGCTACAATGCGCCAGTCTTTCTTGAGGGGTCCGTCGACACGGCGCACCTTCCTGTCCAGTCAATTCGCATCAGTATTCCTGTTGCCATGCAATCATTGATAACGTACCCTTCGGAGACACCACGGAAAGTCTTAATGCCATAGGCTTTGCCATGCGCAAGGTCTGGTGAAGGTTCAACGCGTGTGATTTCAATGAACGATGTTGTGGAACCAGGAGTTTCCTGTCGGACAATGAACTCCACTTCAAGACAAGTTGATCACTTACCTCAAAGCGATCCCAGATAGCGCGGGTGACTTTCTGGCCCACACCAAAGTTTCGCTTACCGCAGATAGCTTTAAAGAGGTTGAGCTTCGCGGCGGCGTTGGTGGCGGCCATGTTCGAGGAAAGGGAATGGCAGGGAATGGACTGGATTGGTAGAACGAAAATAATATT